TTGGAACTCACATATGGTCCTCACAGGAACTCTATTCTGAGGTCTAAGAGCTAAAAGAGCTAAAATGTCAAAGAAACCTCATTAATGATACACAAGTTAAGAGTCATATAAATTAGCTAGAAAAAGTAGCAAGCGAGAGAACTGTGAGAAGTTTAAAATTCAGCAAAAAGAGGACTGAAAGGTTCATTAAGAGTGGAAAAAATAGGGTGTGAGGGTAAACATGCAAGTAAGGCCTGTTGGAGGTTGCCATAAAAATGGTAAAAAAAGATTAACACAGACAAATGTAGGCCCCTTACACTCTGAAATGGAAGAATTGATTATAGATGTCAAGGAAATGCCAGAGCAATTAAACAGCTATTTTAGTTCTGTCCTAACAGAAGAAGACACAAAGAACTTCCCAAAATTGCTAAGGACGCAAGGGTCTATTGGGAAGGAGGAGTTGAAGAAAATTTATATTTGTAATAAAAAAGCTGGTGGAATTAATAAGACTAAAATTTGATCAATCACCAGAGCCAATTAACTACACCCCAGTGTACTAAAGCAAGTAGCCATGAAAATATTGGATACATTGTTTTTCATTTTCTAAAATTATGTGGATTCTGGTATTTTCAGCAAAATGGAGGGTGGCAAATGTAATCTAACAATTTAAAAAGGGAGGGAGAAAAACAGAAATGACACACTGGTTAGCCTAATGTCAATAGCAGGGAAATGCTGGTGTTGATTATAGGGTGGTGAGTGTGAAGGACGCTTCAGCTGAGTTTGACAAAGGCTGAGTAAATGAACTGGAAATTTGGTAGAAGCGAGAATTCAATGCAAAGGGGTCAGAGGTGCTTTAATGAAGGTTTGCTGCAAAAAGCAAGTGCTCCAGAATGCGAGGTGAGAGGGAGAAGATAAAGGATGTGAATTAAGAGACTGACTTGCAGAGATGTCATGGACTACAGTGTGATGCAAGTGAAAAGAGCTGATTGGCTAGTAGAATGGTGAATATTTATAGTCCTAACGTAAATGTCAGGCCTTCAGGTCTTTAGGTCTCTACTGTTTTCTCCTTTTTTTCCAAGAAATAGTTAGTTACATATAAGATTGATACTTAATGATGTTTTTAAGAAAAAAATACAATAAAGTATAAAGAGCAGGGCAAGTAATTTAAAGTAATATATTTATGAATTAATTCAATATAATAGTGATTGGCAAATAATGTGTCACTGATGCAGCATGTGGAGCTGCTGGATACTCAGGTGATCCAGAACGAATATGTCTCTAGTAAGTGTTTTCAGGTCAAGGAACTTTAGATCCAAGTTGAAGTGCTCGAATCCAAGCTGCAGACATTATACCACATCTGGGATGGGGAAAGTTACCGGAAAATGTGTTATAGAGGCTGGTCACACCTTAAGCTAGGATATTCAAATTTGGTGTATCAACAAGGTAAGGAGTGTGTGATTGCAGGTGAAACAGGTATGAGGACCCAGGTGATTGCATTTGAGAAGATTTAGCCAATACAATTGTCCAATAGTTTACAAGTTTCTTGAAAGCTGCGCAGATGAGAGTGAGAACTGCAGAGAGGATGAGAGGACATTGCACTATGGTACCATGGAGCCATTCAAGTAGGAGAAGGAAATAGGAATGTAGATGTTCTGCTCCTCTCTTGCTCCAACTGAGTTTGATCCACTCCCTCTCCAAGCTTGATCCTCTCCCTCTCCTGTTCTACCCGAGCTCGATCCTCTCCCTTTCCTGCTCCACCCGAGCTCGATCCTCTCTCTCTCCTGCTCCAACTGAGCACGATCCTCTTCCTCTCCTGCTCCAACCGAGCATGATCCTCTCCCTTTGCTGCTGCAACTGAGCTCGATCCTCTCCCTCTCCTGCTCCAACCGAGCATGATCCTCTCCCTTTGCTGCTGCAACTGAGCTCGATCCTCTTCCTCTCCTGCTCCAACCAAGCACGACCCTCTCCTCTCCCACTCTGACTGAGCTCAGTCGTCTCCCTCTCAAGCTCTAACTGAGCTCGATCCTTTATTCTCCAACTTATGCTCTAGTTGACCTTCATTGACTGTCAATTATAACAAAGGCTCGTCTTGACAACAGATAATCTCAAAGCACTTCACAACTAATGAAGTACCTATTTTTTGAAGTGTAGTCACTGTTGTAGTTTAGAAAGCATAGCATCCAATTGTTGAACACAAAGGATCCACAAATAGCTGTGTGATAATTACAAACTAATCTGGCTTAGTGACACCGGGAATAAATGGTATTTACATATTGGAAATATGCAATGATAGGAGTTTGAATGTTATTCCATTGAGGACACATTTCTTTTGGAACAAAGATCTCAAACAAAGATGTTTCACATTGTTACTCTGCAGAAGTTTATATAGGCAATTATAGTATGGATCTGATGAAGGGTCTAGGCCCGAAACATCAGCCTTCCTGCTCCTATGATGCTGCTTGGCCTGCTGTGTTCATCCAGCTCTGCACCTTGTTGTTTCCATTTATTAAGACTGTTCTGGACCTGTCTAATTTATCATCCCACCCTTTTCTTCCTTCATTCACAGAGGTTCCCCTTGTGCTGTACCTTTTCGCTTTGATATCATTGACATGGCTTTGGGGAGGTCTGCATATGGCATATAGACACTTCTGGATGCTAATTCTGTTTGTTATTTTTAATACCCTACAGGTGAGTGTGTGCATATTTCGAACATCATTACTATCATACAAAAGAATAATAAAGTACGCATAATCATTAAACTGGTGTGATTCTTAACCTATTTCAGTGCAATACAAATGAAAAATGTATTTATTGATCTGCTACTAAACTGCTTCAGCCATCTACTGAATGGCTGTGAAGGCCTGGTAGCAGGTTTCCCACGTAATGTATCGTAATTTTCCCGCTGAACTGAGTCAGATATTGTGAAATGGAATTGCGCTAAGTGTGAATTCACTGCATTTTTGCCCCACATGAATTAGGACATATTTAAAAATTTGAAATCCAATTGAATAAACTTGAGAAAGGAAATGTGCAAATTGCATTAAATCCATTTGTAAAATTCTACTATTGAATTTCTAAACCTCTGTGATCACTGTGTTGAATTTGTGTATTGCACTGATTGCAACCAGTTTCATGAGGGCATGCAGAAGATCTACAAAATGAGGGGGACCGTCAAAAGTGAGGATGTACCAAATATCATGACATACTGTGAGATACAGGAATAGCTAAGGCTGATGACCAAGGACGGAAACTGATACAAGCAGCCAGTCTGTGCAGACTCCATCTAAAATTTATATCATTAAATTCAAAGCATGAATTCTAACTTCAAAAAAAGTAATGATTTTCTGTATTGATTGATGTGCATAATATTTTTGAAAAATCTAACTTAATCTTTAACAGAAGCCAAATGTAGCTCTACAGACATTTACAGTGATGATTCTGAATTTAATAAACATCTAAAATGAATGATGCAGTCAAGACCTGTTTAGGCTTCAATGATGTATGTTGGTGAGAAAAGATGATCTTGGCACTGTGGTATTTTGTTTTGACGAGAAGCTTCCTTATATGGTTGAAGGCCTTGTGGGAATTTATGCTGTTAGGCATAAACAACTACAGAAGGGTAATTGTTTCTGTAAAGCTGTTGTACCACCCTTTTAAACAACTATCAGCAAATGAATAACGGCCTGAAAGGCTGTTTACCGAAAGTGAGCTGGTTTCTTCTAACAAATTATTAACCTTTACAATGTACAGAAAAAAAAATTCCCAAACAGCATTGTCTCAATGTATAGGCAAACAAGCTTTCAATGAAAGTGGGATTGTAATTGCTGAAACTCAATATGTATCAAATTAACTCTCAAATTACCTTTTCTATCAAAATGCATTACCTCTCTCTATGGGATAAAAAATAATTTTAAGAAACTGGGTATTTAGCAACTTGCTGCTATCCCTCTTGCTAATACATATTGGTAATACCATAGGGAAAATAACCAGGCACAGCAGAAAAGGGAACTCAGATGTCAAGTCAGTAATATTAGATCGAGGTGCTCGCCAAAAGTCATTTAAAAAGAATCAAAATGATAAAAATGATATAATCAAAACTCTACAAGCCAGCTGTCCTGGTAAATGCCAGTAACAAATCCCTTTTGCTTATATTTGAAATTACATTTTAATGCTTTTATCTAATCTGTCTTTATTTAAAAACAATTGTTTTGTAATGCTTTTGATTGTGTTTTTTTAGGGCCTGTATGTTTTTGTGGTGTACTTTATCACGCACAACCAACTGTGCTGGCCAGTAAAAGCAAGCTACAATATGGAAATCAATGGTCATCCAAGTGCAGGGTCAGCCTATCTCACACCAGATAGTGGTGCACCATCAGTGGGAGGAGAGATCAGCAAGTCCACACAAAATCTCATCACTGCAATGGAAGAGGTAAAATTTACCAGAGCTGTAATTTCATTGAAGCCTGATCACAAGGCTGTTTCATTACTCAAGAATGTTCTGATCACACATGTTTATTTTGATGTGTGTATCAACACAACATATGCAGATAATGAGATCTCATTAACAAAATAAATTAGACATGTTGAAGTGTAATCACTCTCTTGTTGTGATGTAAAGACTTTCTGCTAAAGTGCAAGTTTATGCGTAACATAGGCTGAAATTCTGTTCCAGATCTCCCCTCCAGAATATTGGGTGCTGAGATCTTGTTCAATATGGCAAGGAATGGTGGTGTGTAAGATGTTGGTGATTCTTTTTCTATAGTGGCTGTTATGTGAGCTGGTGAGTCTCCTCAGATAAATAGTAAAAAGGTGGTAAAAGGAGGAGTAGGACCAATCAGAGACCAGAAAGGGGATTTACATGTAGAGGCAGTGACCATGACTGAATTGTTAAATGAATACTTTGCATCTGTCTCTCCCTAAGCAGGAGATGCCACCCAGAACATGGTGACAAAGGAAGAAATTCTATCACTAGGAGGGTTCAAAATTGATAGGGATAGACAGTTTGTGCTTAAAGATGACAAGGCACCAGGACTGAATGAGATGCATCCATGGAGTTTGAAGAAAGTGAGAATGTAGATTGAACGGGCACTGGCCATAATCGTTCAGTCTTTCCTATATTCAAGGAGGAACCAGAAGGCTAAATGATTGCAAACACTACAGCCTTGTTTAAGAAAGGTTGTAAGGGTAAGCCCAGCGATCACAGACCAGTCAGTTTAACTTCAATGGCGGGGAACCTTCTAGAAACTATCACAGTGGTTAGGATCTGTAGTCTCATGGAAAAAGATGCATTGATTAGGAAGAATTAGCATGATTTTCTAATGGAGAATTTAGGTTTTACTAACTTGCTGGAGTTTTGAAGTACTTTTGAAGTATTTAAATTACTTTAAGAAGACATTTGATACGGTGTCACACCTGTACGATGTATGATAGGTCATGGTATAAAGGGAGTAGTAGATACAGAATTGTTCTGATTGATAAGAAACAGAGAGTAGTGGTCAGGCCGAAGGGAGGGTTATAGTGGATGTTGGTATTGGGACTCTTGCTTTTCCTGATATATATTAATGAGCTAAACGTTGGTATGCAGGTGACAATTTCAAATTGAAGCATTGTAACTAATGAGGAGGACATTGTAGAACTCCAAAAAGACATAGACAAATTGGTTCAGTGGGTGGATAGCTGGTACATGGCATTTAATGCAGAGCAGTGCAAGGTAATGCCTTTTGGTAAGAAGCACACTGAAAATAAAATAGAAACAATAAATACAATATAAAATAAGGGGCACAATTCTAAAAGGAGTACAGGAGCTGAGAAACTTGAGTGTATACGTGCATGGATCATTGAAGATGGCTGCAAAAAGGTGGAGAGCAGTTAATCGAATATACAGTGCCCTTTGCTTTATTAATAGGAGCATAGTCTACAAGAGCAAGGATGCTGAACTTGTATAATACAATTGTTAGACCTCAGTTAGCATATTGTGTACAGTTCTGAGTACCACATTACAGGAAGGATGCGAACACATTGGAGGGAGTCCAGAAGTCATTTACAAGAAGAGTTACAAGAAAGAAGAATTTCACTTATGAGGATATATTTTAAAAGTTGGAGCTGTTCTCCTTGGGAAGAAGAAGGTTGTAAAGAGATCTCATAGAGGTTTTCAAAATCATGAGCAACCTTGATAAAGGAGAGTGGGAGAACCTATTCCCACCAGTAAAAGGATCAAGAACCAGAGGTCACAGATTTAAAGTGATTTGCAAAAGGAGCAAACATGATACGAGAGATTTTTTTTTCACACAGCAAATAGTTAGGATAAGGAAAGCACTGTCTGGAAGTGTGCTGGAGGCAGGTTCAATTGAGGCCTTCAAGAGGGCATTGGACGATTATTTGAAAAGAAATAATGTGCAAGGGTATAGGGGAAGAAGCAGGAAATTGGCACAAAGTAATGATGTTCATTTGAAGAAGCTGTGCAGATACGATGGGTCAAATGGCCTCCCTCTGCGCTGTAAACCTTCTGGGATCCTGTCAGTGAGGCTGACAGCTGATCATGTCAAGGGCTCACAAGCTTTAATGATTAAATCATGCCATTGTTTGTCAAGATAGTACATGTCTGTCTTTTGGCTATGTTTATGTAACAACAAATTTCATCATCATTTTCATTTGTAATTAAAATTGCTTCATTAAAATTAATGAGTTATCACCTCAGTGGAAGAGCAAGCAAAAAGTTTATATCAATCAGTAATTAAGCATTTATACTCTAATATTGCTCTACTTTCAAGCATTTCTGTTCCTTTTAGAATAGTCCCTATCTGTACCCCATTATGCTACTATAGGCCTAGTCTATACAGTTCTCAGCTCAATGTTGACCTTCGCCATCGTTTCGTCTTTCACAGAACATTATTCAGGTTTAGCGAAATTAGCTTTAAAGGGTGCATTCTTGATCCTCCTGCCCTTAACAAGATCCTACAGGAAATCAGTCGACTGTTAATTAACAATGAATGGGTTCATCCTCCCTGCTGCCTCCTCGTCTTCTCCCCATCCCCAGCTGGCAGCTTGAAAATTTGAATTTGTCCCAGAACTTTCAAGATCTCGAGATCCCCCAAAACACTGATTTTCAACTCAAACCTGCATAAACTCCTGAACCAGAGGACATTTGAAAATTTGGATCCTGAAGTCTGCAACAGCCAAATGTGGCCAGTCACCTCCACGGCTATAAAGTAATTGGCAACGTTTTGTCAGACATTAAATTGTGCATGCTGACTGTGGATAGTGATTACCCAGAGAACACCTGCACCCCGACAGAAGGACTTTTAAAATTTAAATCTTCCTGAAGATTCCTCGACAATGCTTGTATACTTAATGCTCAACATTACTCAGCCAATAATGGAGACAGATGCATTGTCCATTAACGTAATGTTTCCATTGACTGTTGTCACACACTGAGGAAATGTTTGCCTTGATTGTGAAGACTGCTGATTGAGAAGGCTGTCTTTTGAACCAAAGTAAGCATTGTGGGCGAGAGTCATTGTACCAAATAACTTAAGAGAAGAATCTTCAAAATGTTTGCAAACAGTTGGAAGCTGGAGAGTGGCTTCCTGATTAATCTCCTTTCACCTCTCCACAGCACCAACTGAAAGTGAAGTTGAACATCTCAACTTTTTTTAATAAGTGAAGAATCGTGGCTGCAAGCACACAGCTCTCAGCATTGCCCATGCCCCTACCATGACCAGTGTGGATGACATTGAGCATAAATTCTATGATAACCTCTACCCTTGAATGATATTGTGCCAAAGTCAAACAGATAAATAAGGCGAGACAAGGGTGTAGTGGTAATGTAACTTGATTAGTAACCCAGATAACATGAGGTTCGAATCTCACCATCTGCAGTGTCATGTTTTATGGTAATTGCAAAACCTTTGCCATATTTCATTTTTTTAAAAAGGCCATCCGGTTAACTAGTGTCTTTTTGGAAGGGAAACAAGCTGTCCTTAACTGTTCTGGCCTTTATGTGACTCCATGTCCACAACAATATGGTTGACTCTTCAATGACCTCTTAGTAAGTCACTCAGATTTAGCAAACCACTGTGAAGTCTAAAACAGCTAGACATCCAACATTGACCGATAAAATTGAAAATGACAATGACAAACCCAGTCTTGTCACCCCAGCATCTGGGGGCTTGTGCCAAAATTAAGAGAGATGCCCAAAAACTAGTCAAGCTATAGCCTGTCATAGTCTATCTCTCAGCATCATACCTTACAGACAATACTTGTGACACCACAATCACTATCACGGGTTCCATATTGTCTGACTGTCAGGACAGATCCACCAAAAGTGGTGCTACAATGGTATACTGTCAGTGAGGAGCTTCTATGGGAATCGTCAGTATTTACTCCAGATGCCATGAAGCCTCTTGGCGTGAAGTCTGTTGTGGGCAAGGAAACCTCTTGCTTATTGCAGCCAAAGCCTTAAAGGGCTTCACTGCTATCTTGGGCCTGTGGCTGGTGTTGAGCGACCTAATAAGATCGAGAAACCTAGTTGACCTCAACTTCACCACTTTATCTGTCATAGATGCATCTGTCTGTGAGGCTATCGGTAGAAGTAATGACCACACAGACACTGTGGATGCAGAGCCGCATCTTCACAGTGAGAATACAATTCATTATGATGTGTGGTATTATCACCATTTAACTGGAATAGAGTCATACAGCACAGAAGAGGCCCTTTGGCCCATTGAGTTTGCACCAACCTATCTACAGTTATCCCACTTTCCAGCACTTGGCTCGTATCCTTGTCAGTTATAATGTTTCAAGTGCTCATCCACATACTTTTTAAAGGTTGTAAGATTTCCCACCTATACTGCCTTCCCAAACCATGCATTCCAAATTCCCACCATCGGTCTTGGTGAAAAATCTTTTCCTCAAATCCCATCTAAGCCTCCTGTCCTTCACCTTAAAGTTGTACCTGCTTGTGATTGCCTCTTCAGCTAAGGGGAACAGCTGCTTCCCATCCACACTGTCCATGCCCCTTATAACCTCATACACCTCTAACAAGTCCCTCCTCAGCCTTTCCTGTTTTAAAGAAAACAACCCAAGTCTATCCAGCCTCTCTTCATAGCTAAACTGCTCCATCCCATCCCGTGATTCAAGAAGGCAGCTCACCAGCACCTTCTCAAGGACGCTAAGGGACAGGCAATAATGCTAGCTAGCCAGTGACACCCCTGTCCCATGAGTGACTTGAAAAAAATTCAGGCGAACCTTTCAGGCAAAGATTGCCCTTAGCAGTCATCTGTGTATTCACTGGAACTCTGCCAAACACCTTACATGATGAACATGGTTATCATCGTCTTGAAGGACGAACAAGAGCTGCTTGAAGTATTATTTGAGCTGCTTGAAGCATTACAACTGGACATTAAGAACTTTCTTTCACGATACTTAATT